ACTACAACAGTGGAGCTGGCGGCAATGCAGTCTTCGGCGAAAAGACCGGCAGTTTCAATTCTGCTGTTGCTGGTGGCGACAACGGCGTCAACAGCGCTGGTGGGTACAATTCTCCCAACACCTATGGTGCCGGCAACTACAACAGTGGAGCTGGCGGCAATGCAGCCTTTGGCGAAAGCACTGGCCGTTTCAGCAGCGGGAATTCTGCTGTTGCTGGTGGCGACAACGGCGTCAACAGCGCTGGTGGGTACAATTCTCCCAACACCTATGGTGCCGGCAATTACAACAGTGGAGCTGGCGGCAATGCAGCCTTTGGCGAAAGCACTGGCCGTTTCAGCAGCGGGAATTCTGCTGTTTCTGGTGGCGACAACGGCGTCAACAGCGCTGGTGGGTACAATTCTCCCAACACCTATGGTGCCGGCAACTACAACAGTGGAGCTGGCGGCAATGCAGCCTTTGGCGAAAGCACTGGCCGTTTCAGCAGCGGGAATTCTGCTGTTGCTGGTGGCGACAACGGCGTCAACAGCGCTGGTGGGTACAATTCTCCCAACACCTATGGCGCCGGCAACTACAACAGTGGAGCTGGTGGCAACAACAGCGGCAACTTTGCTGGAAATGTGAGCGGCATCGGCAACTTTACTGGCAGCCGCAATGGCAGCAGCTATGCCGGAGGATTTGGCAGCGCCGAGACCCTTGGAGCTAGCAAGGTGCAGTACAACGGCCAAGACGACCTGCTGGGTGCTGACTACTTCTCCGAGTCGGAGGACCGTCATGCGGGCAGGTCAGCGTAACTTTAGTGTCGCGGAACATCTTGAGATGCAAAGGTAACAATGATGAATGCCTGGCGGGTGCTTTTTGTTAGAGAAAACCCAAAGCTTGATGATGCCTCTGGAGTAGGTTATTATTAGGTAAGAAGAATTGCTTAGTTTTTCTGCTTTGGTTTTGCATGCTATTTTGAGGCGAGAACAGTTATGGTGATGCTTCTGGCTACGATTACTGTTTTTTATCGTGTATATTGAGATGGAAAATGGCTGTTTAGCGTGTTGATTAGGCTGTGTGTTCAGCCTGTTCATCCTACTGCGTGACAATGTAAGTATCATTGCTCAAAGTGAAATCCGCTGTAACTCTAAATTCTGAACACAAGTTCACGTGTGCAACATACCACGGCGTGTCAAATTTCAGCGCACACGAAGTTTCGTGGAAAGTCCCACAGAGTAAAACCCATCGGTGTACATTTTCCTCAGTCGGAGACACACAACTTCTGCAGCCATCACATTTTCAGTGATGCTGGTAGGCAGAGCCAGCCACGCGCATTCATTCAACAACGCCATCTTTCGTGTCCTCACCACCACATTTCCAGTGGAATGCCAAAGAGAAAAGGGAGCAAGCACATGGAGAGTGTCCAAGGAGAATTGGAATCGAGGTAGCTGCGGTAGGCTAGGGCACTGGGCCTGGAGTCCAAGGCCGGCCAAAAACCCTCTTTTCCCCTGTTCATCTCCATCCTCCCAGTTCTCACTTCTCAGGGCCGGAGAAGCACAATGGAGCGGCTCGCCGGAGCCGCCGTCGCCTCCTGCATGATCTTGCTCCTCCTGCTCGTCCCCTGCGCCCAGTTCCAGGGGCAACCACCCGAGGCGCCGGAGGAGGCTTGGGCCGAGGGGCAACCACCGGAGGCGTTGGAGGACGCTTTGACGATGCTCTTGTCCGAGGGCGGGTGCGGCGCCTTCGCCGCCCTCGTCGCCAGGACGGCCGGCGTGGGCGACACGTTCCGCGAGCAGATCGGCAGCGACCTGGGGCTCACCATTCTCTGCCCTGACGACGAGGCGGTGGGGGCGTTCGTCCCGAGGTTCCATAGCCTCACTGTCGACGAGCAGGCCGGGCTCCTCCTGTACCACGGGCTGAGGATGGCTTACTCCGAGGAGCTGCACGGCCGGGTCTACTGGTTGTGGGAGGTGTTGACGCTTGATGGGGAGCAGACACTCATCATCAATCACTACAGAGGCAGGGCGATACTTTCTCCGTGGCCGCCGTCGTCACAGAACGAGGCCAGGATCACCAAGACTGTCGTCGATGACGACCATCTTGCCGTCTACCTCATCGACGCCGTGCTGATTCCGACAGAGTCGAAGAAGCCTGACTTCTTCTGGGACTTTTTGGGACCTTTCCTGCTTGTTATCGCTGGGCTCCTGGCGCTGTGAGTTCTCTTTCCTGACGCTTAATTCCGCTACAATCAAATGCAGAACGCAGCTCGTACGCCTGCCTGTCCATAGCATCAGTTCCTGCATGCGATTTGTTGGTGTGCTAGCTCGCTAGCGTGTTCCGTCCGACAGAGATTTGAGCGCCTACGTCTATGTATAAATCGTATATAGTACATTTAGTCGACAGTGATTTAGATTTCGGCTTTCTGTACATACGTCAATTTAACGAACATTACTAGTTTTTTATTAACTCGACTATTATGCTTGAATTGCTCCAGCTTTTCTAAATCCTGATTATGCACGCTAACTGTATCTGTTATTACTAGTATTATTTTGCAGGTGGCTAACTGTATTTATGTTTATTTACACTGCAGATTCTTGCTGTGGCATGCGCTTGTATATCTTTGTTCTCTTGTGTGCCGGCTCAGAAGATGGTGCAAGGATCGCGCTACTGCCTATGTTTCGGCCGCCCGTGTCAATCCACATGGGCAACAAGAACATTAGTCTGTGGCCGCTGAACAGTGCCTCGCCTCCCCTCGTATTCCCTCGTATGCTCTGTAGTCGTCGTATAGTTTCAACGATCAGGTCGCTGACTTGTGTATATAGTGTTTGCTCACTTTTGAATCTAGGCTTCGTTTGGTTTAACAAAATGTCGCTGACTATGAATTCGATATGCAGTAGTGTTATTTTTCGAGGCAACTTCTACTGCAAGCATCCGTCCATGGGGGCTGGATTAGCATTTCTTTTATTGCAATATTGAGCTATTATAAACAAAATGTAGCATGCATGCTAGATGGGGGAGTAGTTACTTTCAACAACTTCTTCAAAAATCATATATCCTGCAAATGACATGATGTGAATGGACGTGGCGATAAATGGCTAAGCAAAGTGCTGTTGACCTATTGATTAGGCTGTTCAATCCAGAGCATGACAAGGTAAGTTCACACATGTTGCTCAGGTGTTCCATGTAAGTTATACTGTATTCATGATCTTGTGCGGACATACAGTCAGCGGTCTCGTCTAACATATATGTAGGCTGCAGGCTGCCAACTGATTGATTGTTAGGAAGATGCCAGGAGCTTATCCTGCAACATAACCGTGCTCTTTCATGTGCACGCAGCAAGTGTATATTCCTTGCCACATACTAGCAGTAGCACGCATAGGTGCCATGTTCACAGTTTATCCTTTTAGTAAAATTAAAACCATCACACAAATCGCCTCCTTTACCTCAATTCGTCCACTAAATTATGTGCCATGTGCCGACTCGCCTGACTGATACTGATGTGGAATTCAGCATCATGTCAGCATGGCGTGTGTGCTCGGTCTGTTAAAACAGAATGCAAAATGTTAACGAGAACATATCATGTGAAACCGCGTGTCTGTGCGCCTAAGGCACCGTGTGGATTTGAGCTATTGGATGGAAAATCAACGGATAAGTTTGCATGAAAGATAGTTGCTGGCACATTTGCAAAGAGGGCCAAGCATTTCGTCAAATTAAACACGCAGTCCATCCTCATAGTCTGAAACTTTTACAATAACACCTCGTTTCATGAAAACCAACCCAGTACAACGAAATCGTGATGGAGTAGGCCAAGGGTTGATTTTGTTTAAATGTAAGATCCTTTTTGCAAGCTATATTCACAACACCATCTCTGTCTTAATATTGTTCATCGGTTTTTCATCCAACGGTCCAAATTCGCATGATGCAAGGTGCACATGAAGTCACGTTTCACATGATATGCTCTTGATAGCCTCAACCATGCAGATTCGTGAAGTGAGCATAGCTCTGATGGTTAGGATCCTTGCAGTGGAATCAGCCCACTAGGATTCATGTTCTAAACTTGGCACCTGTGCTCATATTTTCTGTATTTATTTCAGGCTTTTCGGCGATGTTCGTTTAGTGAGAGGAGACGTTCTCGTCAACTACGAGGTGCCTGGTCACTTCATTAATCTCACAATGATGTGCCGACTCGGTATGTTGAAGGTACTAATAGAAGTAGGGTATGCGTGCATGCATTTCTGGGCGAGTGTATGTAAGCATCTATGTTTGTATTGTGTTTGAAAAAAATGCACGTGCACATTCACTCACCACTAACACCATCTTTTGACACTTCTGCTTCGATACACCCCTCCTAAACACAAGGACGGCTCAGATTAGTCCATGAAGGAAATATGCCCTAAAGGCAATAATAAAATTGTTATTTATATTTTGTAAAATCATGATAAATGTTTATTATTCATGCTAGAATTGTATTAACCGGAAACTTGGTACATGTGTGAATACATAGACAAACAGAGTGTCCCTAGTATGCCTCTACTTGACTAGCTCGTTAATAAAAAATGGTTAAGTTCCTAGCCAGACATGTGTTATCATTTGATGAACAGGATCACATCATTAGAGAATGATGTGATGGACATGACCCATCCGTTAACTTAGCACTATGATCGTTTAGTTTATTGCTATTGCTTTCTTCATGACTTATACATGTTCCTCTGACTATGAGATTATGCAACTCCCGAATACCGGAGGAACACTTAGTGTTCTATCAAACGTCACAACGTAACTAGGTGATTATAAAGATGCTCTACAGGTGTCTCCGATGGTGTTTGTTGAGTTGGCATAGATCGAGATTAGGATTTGTCACTCTGTGTATCGGAGAGGTATCTCTGGGCCCTCTCGGTAATGCTCATCACTATAAGCCTTGCAAGCAATGTGACTAAATAGTTAGTTATGGGATGATGCATTACGAAACAAGTAAAGAGACTTGCCGATAACGAGATTGAACTAGGTATGAGGATACCAACAATCGAATCTCGGGCAAGTAACATACCGATGACAAAGGGAACAACGTATGTTGTTATGCGGTTTGACCGATAAAGATCTTCGTAGAATATGTAGGAGCCAATATGAGCATCCAGATTTCGCTATTGGTTATTGACCAGAGATGTGTCTCGGTCATGTCTACATAGTTCTCGAACCCGTAGGGTCCGCACACTTAACTTCGATGACGATTTGTATTATGAGTTGTGTGACTTGATGCACCGAAGGTTGTTCAGAGTCCCGGATGAGATCACGGACATGACGAGGAGTCTCGAAATGGTCGAGACATAAAGATCGATATATTGGATGGCTATATTCGGACGTCGGAAATGTTCCGAGTGATTCGGGTATTTTTCGGAATACCGGAGAGTTACAGGAATTCGCCGGGGGAAGTAGTGGGCCTTAATGGGCCATACGGGAAAGGAGAGAAGGGACTCAAGGGGTGGCTGCCCCCCCCATGGCAAGTCCGAATTGGACTAGGGAGGGGGCGGCGCCCCCTTCTCTTTCCTTCTCCCTCTCCTACTCCTTCCCTCTCTCCCCTCTTGGAAAAGGAAGGGGACTTCAACTAGGATAGGGAATCCTAGTTGGACTCCCCCTATAGGCGCGCCCCTCCTAGGCCGGCCTCCTCTTCCCCCCTCCATTACGTAGGAATTTTTTTGAATTATTACTATGTTCCCCAACACTATTTCTTAGTTGAAAATTTTGAGGGTTCTAGGATGAAAAGAACTGAAACTTTAGGAGAGGTAAAATAGATGAAATTTATGTTGGGGAACGTAGTAATTTCAAAAAAATTCCTACGCACACGCAAGATCATGGTGATGCATAGCAACGAGATGGGAGAGTGTTGTCCACGTACCCTCGTAGACCGAAAGCAGAAGCGTTAGCACAATGCGGTTGATGTAGTCGTACGTCTTCACGATCCGACCAATCAAGTACCGAACGCACGGCACCTCCGAGTTCAGCACACGTTCAGCCCGATGACGTCCCTCGAACTCTGATCCAGCCGAGTGTTCAGGGAGAGTTTCGTCAGCACGACGGTGTGGTGACGATGATGATGTTCTACCGACGCAGGGCTTCGCCTAAGCACCGCTACAGTATTATCGAGGTGGACTATGATGGAGGGGGCACCACACACGGCTAAAAGATCAAACGATCAATTGTTGTGTCTCTAGGGTGCCCCCTGCCCCCGTATATAAAGGAGCAAGGGGGGAGGTGCGGCCGGCCTAGAGGGGGCGCACCAGGAGGAGTCCTACTCCTACCGGGAGTAGGACTCCCCCCTTTTCCTTGTTGGACTAGGAGAGAGAGAGAGGGGAAAGAGGTGGAGGAGAAGAAGGAAGGGGGGGGGCGCCGCCCCCCTCTCCTTGTCCTATTCGGACTAGCAGGGAGGGGGCGTGGCCCTTGCCCTGGCCGCCTCTCCTCTCTTCTACCAAGGCCCACTAAGGCCCATTAAGTCCCCGGGGGGTTCCGGTAACCTCCCGATACTCCGGTAAAATCCCTATTTCACCCGGAACACTTTCAATATCCAAACATAGGCTTCCAATATATCAATCTTCATGTCTCGACCATTTCGAGACTCCTCGTCATGTCCGTGATCACATGCGGGACTCCGAACAACCTTTGGTACATCAAAACATATAAACTCATAATATAACTGTCATCGAAATGTTAAGCGTGCGGACCCTACGGGTTCGAGAACTATGTAGAGATGACCGAGATACGTCTCCGGTCAATAACCAATAGCAGAACCTGGATGCTCATATTGGCTCCCACATATTCTACGAAGATCTTTATCGGTCAGACCGCATAACAACATACGTTGTTCCCTTTGTCATCGGTATGTTACTTGCCCGAGATTCGATCGTCGATATCTCAATACCTAGTTCAATCTCGTTACCGGCAAGTCTCTTTACTCGTTCCGTAATACATCATCCTGCAACTAACTCATTAGTTGTAATGCTTGCAAGGCTTAAGTGATGTGCATTACCGAGAGGGCCCAGAGATACCTCTCCGACAATCGGAGTGACAAATCCTAATCTCGAAATACGCCAACCCAACAAGTACCTTTGGAGACACCTGTAGAGCACCTTTATAATCACCCAGTTACGTTGTGACGTTTGATGGCACACAAAGTGTTCCTCCAGTAAACGGGAGTTGCATAATCTCATAGTCATAGGAACATGTATAAGTCACGAAGAAAGCAATAGCAACAATCTAAACGATCAAATGCTAAGCTAACGGAATGAGTCAAGTCAATCACATCATTCTCCTAATGATGTGATCCCATTAATCAAATGACAACTCATGTCTATGGTTAGGAAACATAACCATCTTTGATCAACGAACTAGTCAAGTAGAGGCATACTAGTGACACTCTGTTTGTCTATGTATTCACACAAGTATTATGTTTACGGTTAATATAATTCTAGCATGAATAATAAACATTTATCATGATATAAGAAAATAAATAATAACTTTATTATTGCCTCTAGGGCATATTTCCTTCAGTCTCCCACTTGCACTAGAGTCAATAATCTAGTTCACATCACCATGTGATTTAACACCAATAGTTCACATCACCATGTGATTAACGCCCATAGTTCACATCGTCATGTGACCAACACCCAAAGGGTTTACTAGAGTCAATAATCTAGTTCACATTGCTATGTGATTAACACCCTAAGAG